GAGAAAGACTGGGAGATGGAATTAAGGAGCCTGGGAAAAGACCAGGTCTGATCAAGCTTCTGATCAAACATAGATAACTTACGGCACTTTCTCATGCTGAATTGAATCAATTAAACATCTGTTCCAATGTGTGTTACGGCCACAGGCTGGAAAAGGAACACACACAGGGCTGTAGTAGAAGCAGAGACTGAAGGGTCTTTCATGGTTTGTACTGTAACCGTAGTTTGTTCAGTGACAGATTCTGAGGTTCTATTGTGGCTTTGCATGCCGTATGAAGGCTTTTAAGCTACACGAATGTGTACTTTGACTAGAAACTATGGATGAAACAGCTGCACAGCCACATCTATTATGTTTCATTTGTTCCAAACAGAAGACTGACAAGATGTTTGGCTCACAGATGTGCACTGACTGGTAATTTGATGGACGCAGCATATGTGTTTAAATCTGATGGCCTCGAAGAATAAAGACTTGCCATACGTATGACTCTCACCCACGCAGAGCACACTGATATCAGCATTCCTCCAGCTCTTTGCAGAGGTTAGCCTATCAACAAACGGATAACCCCCACTGCAAAAACAGGGCCATTTTAAATATTTTCAAAAGAAAATCTATCATCATTTTGATCGTTTACTCGTTTCAGACAGTTACCAAAAGCTGACGGCTTGCAGCTGTGCAAATGTGAGGATTTTTCTTCAGTTCTCTGATATTTGATAGACAATAAAATGGAATAATAAATAAAATGAGAAAGAAACAGCGGTGAGTTGAAGCTCTAAATAACTTAGTGTCATATTTAATCTTAAAATATGAGTTCTAAAGGTGTGGATTCATTTTTTTTTAATAGATGCATTATTTATTGAGAATTATAAAATGAACAACTTGATAAATATCCAAGCTCTAATGTTGCGGTCCTGTGCCATATTGATCTAATTAGCGTGCAGACCAGTGCAGATGTCAAGCTCATGTGGAACACTGTCCATAATTTGCTCACAAGACTTCTCTCAAACAGAAGTGTCTCGAGCAGCGTGAAATGTGGATTATGAAGGCATATCCACAATATCAGCAGAGTGTTCACTGATGCGTGTTTTACACACGAACAGACATCACCCGCCCCTCCACTTTCCTGCTTCTTACTGGCTAGTCAGTAGGGTTAAAAGGAAAGATGGTCTTCTGAGAGATGAAAGGTGATCTAGGTGGATTTTCCAAATTTGATTTTCAAGGTCTTCTGAGAAACCAGCCGTTGTAGACAGCCATGCAGAGCAATCAGTAATGTACACTGTATATGTTAGGCTCGTGAAAAAGTGCATGCCTTGGTTTTGGTGTGTTTTCCTGATAGACACGTGCACTCAAGTTATATCGATAGGGTCATTTCCGAGCTCTCGCGGGCTCAATTAAACACTTCCACAGAGTAGCTGTACTCATTAGAAGAGTGGGCCGGTGGGCCTGCGGTGTGTATAGTAACACAGCTGGTGGCTTTGAGGCTTGCGAGTCAGTCATCGTACTCACACTTTCTACACATGTATGCAAAATGTAAAAAGGGGACTTATTGTTCATTAGAACAAAAACTGAAAGAGCACAGTGGAACTATAGCTTGCAAAACCTCATTTACATTACAGCTCACAAAATCCTCGCTCAAAAGGCAGCTATGAAGAGAGCAAGACAGAGAGAGAGAGAGGACATCCACCTCAGTGTTCAGTACGAGAGGAAAGACCACAGCTGTGTTACACAGGCAGTAAATTGAAATGACAGAGTCCCAGGCCTGTAATTTCACAATGCTCTGCTGTGCATAAACATTCTCTGAATGATCTTCATTCCAGGCATTATCACTCCTCATGGGATTACCAGCTATGAGGATGGATATATTAGACTGTAAAAAAGACCTGAATGAAATTCATTCTGCCTCAGGGCTAGACCTATTCTGCCCTGTATAGTAAATAACATAATCTAGTTTATTCATTCATTAGCTTTGTGGTTGAATTACATCTCTCTTAACTGCTCTGGTGTAGTAATCCTTTCATTAGTGATTACCACTTTAGTTACTGTGCCAGCCTTGGCTTCTTATCGTGCTTTCAATCCAACCCCCCAGCTCCACCCTTCACCCCCATTTCTTTGTCTTTTTCCATCTTGCGCTCTCCACTTTAGTCACACAGCCAGTGTTGGCAGGTAGTAGGCAGGCTGTGTTCAGTCTTGTCAGGGTAAATTATGGATCAGGTGGCCAGTGAGCTGTCAGTTGTACCAGCTATGTGGTGATGCCAGAAACACTACAGGCATTCCCTGGCACAGGCACACACGCCTACCACCTCCAACCCCAAAATGCATAGATGTGGTTATCAAAGCGACCGGGCTGCTCATCTTTAACCACTACTAATCCTCATGTGTTTTCATCTGGCTATCGCTTATTCTCTGCTTGTGTGCAACATACACACATGGAAGCACATGCTGTGGTTTATGCACAAACTAAAGCGAACATCAGATTTATCCAGGCTTGCACAACAGACACACAAACACACACATATGGTGTGCAGCCTCCAACTCCTCTACTCTGGAGGGGCTCCAACATGCCCCCGCATCTCAGTACAAGGTATCTTCTGGCACAGAAAATACATAATCAGTGCACAGACGTTTTGCAGTTACACACACACACACACACTCGCAAAAACACACAACTCCTCCCCTTTTCCAAATCAACTCATTCACAGATGGGACACGCACTCGAACTAAAGAGCGGGGCTGTTAAGAAGACAAAACAAGGAGAGAGAAGAGTTTAATTTCATACCTGTCAAACAAAAAGCTTAACTAAGATCCTTTACTGTGCGCGAGCCAATTTAATCAGCATTACAGATGGAGATTTTCTCTCAGTGTTGCCTGATAAAAGGCCAAGAGAGAAGGGGAGGAGAGGCAAAGAAATAGACAGCGAGAGAGGATGGATGCAGAAAGAAAGCAGAGGGGGGAGGGAGCGGCCAGCGGCCCATACACGCCAGGGTATAATTTTAACACGTGGAGCTCACAGTCTCATTACAGGCTTCGGTCTGAGGAGCGCAGGGGTCAGACCTGATCCAAACCCACAGTGACAAGTGCAAATGGGATTCTGCTGTCTGTCTCAACAGCCTACATACACACGCACAAACACTTTCTCCCAAAAGCAACCCCCTCCTCCTCTAACACATACACACAAACACACACTAAAGTATTGTATACATGAGAGCAAGTACACCCATTCACACAAATGCAGCACAAAACCAGCCTTACAAGGTAAAGTGCAGATTTTTGTATGACGTTAGCCTTTTCAGTTAGCCTCCTAACACTAATACTGCGTATTGTATTAAAGTTCAGCAGTTATATATACTGGAGCATCACACAATTAAAATCTTTATGATTCAAATTGATGAAAAGAAAGTGTCCGTTAGCATCGTTTGGTACAGACGAGGGCAACAAACCTCTGGGACAGTTACATAAACTTGACAAAGTCATTACTCATTCTTGACCCCAGCAGTGGCTGCACAAGTTCATTCAGATAAACACACATTTTCCCAATACATACACATAAATCTCGCTATGCACATGGGACCATCATGTGGGGCTGGTGCTGATTTGTGCAATCACCTTGATGAATCACCCTTTACAACAACCCTCAGAGGATTGTCTCTATTGTTAAGCAGAACCGCTCAACATGACCTAGACACACAGCTTATACATGCACACACGTAACCGGGGGGGGGGAGGCAACAACGCAGGAATAAGTTACACATGACCTTTAAGTACGTTGTGTTTAAAATGCAACGTCTTGAGTGAGATGCTACGGCGATAAAATGTGCTGCTGTACATGACCTATGAATGAACAAACAACTTTTAACACAAAAATACTCTTGAGCAGAGGGGCAGGGGCTCGTTCCAGTGTGAATGGCCATTCATGTAAAAGGAAACCACAAAATAACCATGTTTCCTCTCCGCTTCACTGTTAAACCAGCGTATGTACAAATGCAACCTGGTAACATGCAGAGCGTGAAGCAGGGGAAAAAAAGGTGTTCTTAGAAATTAAATATGAAAACCATAAAATATGCAGCCGGCTCCCACTATGCCAACGCTGCCTCTGACACAGGCTTTCTCTCCTCTGTTCCCACAGCATGTTTTATTCAGCACTGATATTCTAAAAGCTGAAATAGAACAATCTATTTCCCCTTGCACTCCTCACTTCTGATTTGCCGATGAATATTTCAGAAGAATGTCAGAAAAGACAGAGAAACTCCACTCTGCGAGCCAGCATCCGCCTCATCTCTCCCGCCGTCTCCCATCCTCCCACCGTTTGACAAGACAGCTACGTGATACTAGTGCAAGACTCGCCTAAGTAGCTGATTTGCTTAATTTTCTCCATGATTTAACAATTTGCGGAGTGCGTGTTGAGGAGCTGGAGAAGGGGAGACGGGAGAACGGGGAGAGGCAGAAAAAGTAAAAACTGCAATAGAGGTAAGAAAAGAGGCAAAGCGACACAGTGTGGCGCAGACTGGATGTCAAACCTTGTTCTTAAAGTTCAAGTCAGACTTTACTTTTTAAACTCTACATGTATATGAAAAAAGTGAAGAGAAAAGGGGATTTAAATGTATTTTAGCTTCAAAATTGAGGGAAAAAAATGAAGCTACATGCTGCAAGTGTAAACAAATAAGTAAATTATGGACACATGTGAAAGGCACACATCTGCCTCTGGTCTTGCCAGTCCCTCATGCCTATTTATACCTGACTGGAATGCCAGTTAGTGACTGACTGCCTGAGTGACACACAGTCTCTCTCTGACATACACACACACACACACATGCACACACATACACGCAGCTTTACAGGCAGGGCTATTGTTCTGTTTCAGTCTAAGCAAAGTCGTGTGCACTACTACAATGTATCAAGGAAATAGAGGGGAACCAGTAAGAAACGAAGATATTAAAGCTTCTTTTATAAAAACACACACTCATGCGCCCACACAGAGAAGTAACTAAAGCAGAGATCGTACTCACAGTCTTTCAGTGTTGCGGGGGATATTCCTTGGCATGGTTTTGAGACCCAGTCCATGGCAGTCTACTGTGGTTCCGCTGCAGGTACACAGGGCTGGGCAGCCACTGGCATTGCCCACTATCAGGGCAGAGAGCATCGCCACCCACATCCAGAGTGGCTGCCTGGCCAACCTGCCCATGCCTGCCTCAAACCAGCTTTCTCTAATGGCCATATTCACCAGAACGACAACCTGCTCTTCTTTAACAAGCCCTTACTTCTCTGTGTGTCCACCTTCCCCTCTCTACGTCTGCTTCCAAGAGTCTTGTTACACCTTACAAGTCCACTAGAATAAATTCATATATTTGATGAATATGAACAAAAAAAAAAATTACACGTGAGAAATGCTAATATTTTCCTCTCTGCTGTAAAGCCATACAAATCCTTTTTTCTTCTTGTAGAATTCTTTTGATGCTGGTTTGATATCCACCACAGTTTGCAGATGTAAAAGAGAAAAAAAAAAGAAAAGAAAAGAAAAATAAGCAGTTGTTTCTTATGTTCTCCTTGCAAACTCTTCTCCTCTCTCTTGTCTTTGTGGAGTTGGTGTGCTCTGGTCTGCACACGTCTGCGTCTCTGTCCTCCGCTCACTCAGTCCCGCTCTGCTCTGCTCGCCTGAAGAGAGAGGGAATAGGCAAAGAGAGGAAAGAAAAAAATGCCAGTCTCTCTCTCTTACACACACACACACACACACACACTCACTCACACACACACACACACACTAGTCATCCATCACAAGGATCTACAAATAGCAGAGCCCCCGACTCCACCCCTACCCCTCCTCTCCTCACCCATTCCTCTCCCTCCCCATGCAACACCCCCTCCAGAACCCTGCCTGAACTCACTCTCATTCCTGAGATCCCCTTTTCATTCCCTTGACTCTATTCACAATACAAATCTACACCAAGTATCTTTCTTTTTCATTTCTCACTCACTCCACTCCTTCTTTTCTCTCAGGTTTGCCTCCAGGCGAACCCCTAGAGAGAGAGAGACCTAACCTGCATGACACTGCATAACCCCTGCCTGAAGGGAGAGGCTGTGGGGAGACAGTGGTCTGTGTGTGTGCGTGCATGCATGCGTGTGTGTATCCAGTAGGGAAGAGAGGAATCAACACCTCGGTCCGGGGAGGCAAAAAGCCGGAATAAATAATCAGTTAGTGTGGGTCTTAACATGTACATCAAGCGTGGCCACACAGACAGAAGCAGCAGCAGCAGCAGCAGCAGCAGCAGGGAACTGGAATAAAAGAAACAAAACACATATATTCAGTCTGCCTCCACAGATCATGAATCTGCAGGGGAGGCAGACCACCGCCATAAAAAGTAAATCAAACACTATACTTTAAGCACAGCATAGCCACGGGAACAGAGAATATAATCTAATATATGCAAATGCAAAGGCAAACCACTAGAATCCCAATCTTACCTGCTCTGTTTTTTAAATTTGTCAGAGCAACTGGCACACAATCTGTCTCCCAATGCCAGGATCATACACTGGACTCAAAGCTAAAAAATATATATGTATTTAAAATAGAAAAAAAAAAACGTTAAAAAAACCCCGATATGTGGCATACAGTGTGTGAGAAAGTGTTTGCCCCCTTCCCGATGTCCTAGTTTTTTGCATGTTTATTGCACGTAGATGTTTCAGATCATCAAAAACATTTTAAGGTTGCGCCACGGCATTTCAATCGGATTCAGGTCAGGACTTTGACTTGGCCAATCCAAAGTCTTCATTTTGTTTTTCTTAACCCATTCAGAGGTGGACTTGGTGATGTGTTTTGGATCATTGCCCTGCTGCAAAACCCAAATGCGCTTCTGCTTAAGGTCAGAAACAGATGGCTGAACATTCTCCTTCAGGTTGTTTTGGTAGAAAGCAGAAATCATGGTTCCATTTACTACAGCAAGTCTTCCAGGTCCTGAGGTAGCAAAACAGCCCCAGATCATCACACTTTTTTGGAAAATGTGAGACAAGCCTTTTTTTGGTCACCAGTGGTTTTCTCCTTGAACTCTCCTATGGATGCCATTTTTGCCCAGTCTCTTTCTTATTGTTGAATCATGAACTCTGACCTTAACTGAGACATGTGAACCCTGCCGTTCTTTAATGCTGTTCTGGGTTCTTTTCCAACCTCCTGGATGAGTCATCCATGTACTCTTGGAGTAATTTGGTAGGCTGGTCACTCCTAGGAAGTTTTACCCCTGTTCCAAATTTTCTCCATTTGTTTATAATGGTTCTCACTGTGGTTCACTGCAGCCCCAATGTCTTAAGAATGGTGGTGTATTATTTAAGTGATTCCTGGATTCAGCACATCTGCCAATAATCAGGCCTGAGTGCGTTTAGTGACACTAAACACTAAAATCATCAATGAAATCACATTTAATTCCCGATTTAACTATATATGTAATTACTTTTTCACACAGGACCAAGTAGGTTTGGATAACCTTTCTCCCCTAATCAATAAAATCATTTAAAAGCTACATTTTGCATTTCCTCAGGTTATCTTTATCTAATATTAAAATTTGTTTGATGATCTGAAACATGTAAGTCTGACAAATATCCAAAAAACTAGAAAATCAAGAAGAGGTCAAACATTTTTTCACACCACTGTATGCAGGAAATCATTTCCTTTGCAGGAATTAATAATAAATCTTTTTTTACTTAGTTAAAACTGTGTGTACATTTATCAGAGACTGACTGAAGTTGACAGTGTAATTGTAGCTCTCAGGAAACTCTCCAAATGCATTTCGACTTCATGGAATTGCAAATCACTATTCTAGATTTTGATAGAAAATGGAGCTCTGATCTTAATGACTTCAGGCCATAATTGCTGGGTTCATTTATATTACAAAAAAGCATTAAGAATTAAAGCATTAAAGGTGACAACTTAAAATGAAATGTGAAACTTTATAAAGAAAGAAAAGGAATAACTCCCATGGATCAGACTTCCTCACTGTGCATGTCTCTGATTTTGCATACTGATCATCTACTTAATTAAAGACTCTTCATAAACCATTAAGCACCATTAATTAATACTTAGGCCACTATTACCGCATGTCAGCTGTTCTCCCAAGAGATGGGCAGTGCTTTACTTCAAATAAATGAAGACAAAGACAAGATGCCTTTAAGCACCAAGATTGCCTCAAGAAGTGTTGGTGTCTGTATTCACGTTTCTGGTTTTGCAACTTGTTTGTTTGTTTTTTTAAGGATTAGTCAAGAACTATCATTGCTATGCATTATTAACACTTCACACTTTTCAAAATATAAAAATACGGAAATCTCTTGAGTGCTTTAACTTTACAGAGAGATTTGCTGGGATGAGCAGATCCCTCCTAACATTAAAATCAGTAAATCACACAGACATAACAACCCCATTCACATTAACTGACAAAAGGCACAAAGACAATAAAGAGTCACAGATGATGCAATAAGATATATTTGAGTTTGTGTGCATCTGTCTGCTTTGATGCTTGTCCAGTTTGGAACATGCACATATGAATGTGAACATGCAGGTGTTCGCACTTACTCGAAACAAATCAGTAAAAGCTCCATCTGTCCCAGTAAAAATGTCAGTGCAGTATAGAGCTTCCTTCAATGAATGGTTAATTAAAGAGGAGACAGTGGTGTTTAGTGGTAATAGGGGGTGGTGGTAACATCCCTCCGCTCTCACAGAGCTTTGAGAGGAATGCACACAAATATGCAAAAGGAATAATTCTGCTGTTTACAAAGGCATAGGACGACATAGCAGCATTTACAATAGTCTGGCAGAGGAGAGTTTGCAAAACAGAAGATGTTACCAAGAACTGACTACAATGAGGAAAACCAATTAATGTGGAAGCATTACATATGCTTAGGCACCCATGATTCAATTCTGTGTTACTGTGAAGAGCAAACCAAGGAAAGGAAGTCCAAAAGGTATAAAAGGATAAAGAAAAATGTAAATAATTGATTCATTTAAGCAAAATAAACATGTTTTATTCCCATCTTTGCAGTTTTAAAAGCCAGAGGTCAAAAAGCTTGGTATCATGTGTGGTCAATATCCTCTTTGACAACTTGCAAATGCTTCATGGAGCCAAGCCAAGAGTTCCAAGAGTTAGAGTCTTGGTTAGAGTGGATTTCGAGGTGTGTTTAGGATCATTATCCTGTTGCTGAATAAATCCTCTTCTTTGCAGCTTCAGCTTTGTTTTTTTTCCTTAACAGACACTATGCTAGAATTTGCTGCTAATTAACAGAATCCACTCTGGTGACACTGGCTCCAGCCCAAACACAAAGCAGTGATGTGTTCAATCCTGCATAGCTCTCATACAAAGTTTTGTCTTTTACATCTCAGCTTGCCTTCATTATTTCTGTTAATTGCCATTTCTTGACATTACAGATTTAAAAACAACAACAACAACAAAAAGCAAACAGGTATTTTTGCATCTTCTCTTCTTCAGCATTTTACGTGTGTTTAAAAGAGCTTATGGCTAGTGGGACTAGGAGGAAGATTGAGGAGCGTTTTGGAAACTGCACCACCTTCTTTTCAATGCCTGTGAACAACATCTGGTCTGACAGTTCAATCCTTTTGGATGGAATAATAATTTTGCGTTGCCCAACTCTCTTTTTTTTCTATAATTGTGTAAAACAATACCACAATATCTTCATCTTAGCAGACACAGGCTTTTGTGATTAGTTCATCGTTCACTCACTTTAATAATTTACATTTATAGAAACCTTAAACAGGGGTTCCCACATTTATGCATATTTATGCTATTTTCATACATCTTTCACCCAAAACTACTTATGTAGTTAACTAAAAAGAAACCAACATATGCTTGAAAAGAAAATACAAAGAAACCCAAAATTCCACAGTGTGCTTCCGACCAGTCATTTGTATTTCTCTCTAACACAGCTGTGCCTCGGAAAGGCATAAAAAAACCATATATCTTTTAATTGTGTTTTCCTTTTAACGCAAATGATCGGTTAGTGAGTTTAGAATATGGACAGAATTAGCCCCCTCTAAAAGGCATTTTAATGCATACATTCAAAGCAAAATCACATCCACTCACAAACCCACAAACATATTTATTTTGATATAATGTGAAGTTGATTACAGTACCAGTGAGTCATTTTACAGTCATCAAGCTCATTGCTAAATAAAACCCCTGTGGAGTTTTAGCTGTAAAACAATACACTTCCTTTTGGGGACGTTGTCTGTTGTATATATATATTTAGGATTTGGGGAACATTCCCATACATGTTTACGGCATATACTTACAATACCAGCCATACATTGACACCACAATGACAAACAGGCATTCACGCTGCTATGGAAAAAACATTTTCTTGCTACTCAAACTTTCACCCCATAACTGCAT